GTTTATCAATTGTTCAAGTTCTCCGATTTTGGTTTCTGAATTATTTCGCACACTAGTATTTGTTAATGTTTTCGCGTCCAACTTCAACTTTTCAACATTTGCATTAAGCTCATCGACAAAGTTAAAACGAGAGACAACTTTTCTAAGATCGTTGCAATGCTTCATAATTTTTTTGTAATTTTCGTCAGCAGCAGCTTCAAGCTCAGGAAGTCCAGATTCTTCTTTAATAATTTCGCAAAGTCTTTTGGTTTCTTTGATTAATTTAACGTTTTTATGGAAATGGCTGAATAAAATATAACAAAACTGAGTTAATAAAAAACCTGTCGAGACTTTAAAACACATTATTATCAGAGCGAATTACCTTGTAGGACCACATCCACATTTTTCGCATATTTTTTTACTATTCATGCAAGCACAATGATTGAATGGAATATTCTTTCCATGTTCCACGGTACGATTAAGATAACAACGGTCATGACAAATAAGATCAGTATGTATAATACAAACTGTACTATGATAATTGGCAGGAACAATTTTCTCAAGTGGGATTTCTTCATTTATATCTGCATGAGACTCTTCTTTTTCTTTTATTTTATCCAGCACTTTTTGAATATTCGCGATGTTGACGGCTGCTTCAAAAAGCTCAAATTTGATTTGGTTTCGAAGGGGTTTCATTTTCCTAAAGTGTTCGGCTGGTTTAGAGAGTGGCAGAGAAAATTTTATCAACATATCATTAATTGTTGATTTGGAATTCTTCCATTGCAACTTAAGAACTTGATGACCAAAACCACTTCTTGGCCTGGTTGTAGGATCGTTACAAAATGCTTGGTTATCCATATAAAAAATATCCTAAAACAAAAAAGTTGGCAATCTTCGTTGTTAATTTTCATATGAATAAATATATGCAGTCAACCGAATCTATTGGTTATAATGTGAATTTAATTGATTAATCACTAACCCTTGGCTTTCCAAGATGCTCTGTAAAAGTATCGACAGAAAATTCAGTAGATTCCTTTGTACACTTTGTTAAAATTAGGAAAAGATTATCTTCGATCATGGCATCAGGTAAGTTATTTGCCAGGAGAACTAAAGCGAGTTTTATTGTTGGATTCATTCTAGGTTCAGCTCCATTAGCAATAACCACGATAGCTGATATTGAACCAACGCTAATTGCTGTATCAATTATCTCTTTGATATTAACGTCATCTTGTTCCATACCCCTTGTATCACTCAACCCTGGGGTATCAATAAAGATAAATCTATAGGCAGGATTTTCGGGATGATTGAAAGCATACGTGTTGCATTTTGTGGTTTTACTCTTTGTCACATCAGCGATATCAATTTCAGAATGATCGAATTCTTGAAATAGTGAAAATAAAAAATTCAAAATTAATGACACCAATGCTTGTTTTTATATAATAGTTTTAAATTATACCTTCTTCAGTCACATCAAGATGAGCTGTTGGAATGACAACTTTCAGATTATCAAGAGTACCACCCAGAAAGTAATTTGAAATTGTATTGATTACGGTTGATTTTCCAGTTCCAGTTCCTCCCAATAAAAGAACTTTGAAGACACCCGGTGGTCCACCAACTTCGCTAATACTTTTTGAGTTGATTGGTCCCTTTTTGGAGTACTGGTTATTGGTTACATGCTGCCAAATATCACTACCACGTAGAAACGCTTTTTTATCCAATTCGTTCGGGTGGTCTAGGGATCCATCACAAGTATCTGTATCGGAATCGTCATTCGAATCATAAAAATCGTAATAATCCATTGTTAAAGAAAAAATTATTAAATTTATTCTTTTACAAGATTAAATTTGATAGGATAGTCTGGTCTGAATGGGTTAGTTTTTATGGAATTTACACAAGATAAGCAATTTTTGTATTCAAGATTTATTTATTTTCATTTACTCAAAATGGAATTGACCATTGATACAATTAGGATAGAAAATTTTCCACACACGCACAACAGGCGGCGCAAATGTTGAAAGTCCGATCTTTATTTTTTCATTAACTCAAAATTGAAAAGGACAATTTTTGTTTGGCGTAAATATTAAGAATTCTTGTAACATAACTATTAATAGATGAATGAAATGTTTAAGGAGTCAGTAAAAACGAATGATTAGTATGATTATTTAGTGAAATGTTAATATGAATGAATATATAAATAAAAATTTGCCAATCTTCAACCTTTACACACACAGAAAGTTGTATATTACATGAATAAAATTAATAATTTTATCTAAAAATTAACAGACTTTACTATGTGTTGACAAGGAAATTGCCAATCGTCAACCTTTACAATACTATTTTTTGTGCCATTAATATATAAATAGGATTAGGAGAATTCTATTGATTAATGCAAATATCGAAAGTTGTTTGTGGATATTTTCTGTTTATGTAAAGATTTATTGTGACCTTTTTTGGAAATTTTATTTTTGCGTTACAGAATAATAAAATCCAAAATGATTTCATCTAAAATTAAATAATATAGTTAATGGTTTAGATTATAGAATTCTGTATCGTATATTTGGACGTTTCACTGATTCATTCATGTACATAAGTGGAAATTATTTTTTTTTCAAGTAGTTATTTTATTGTTAATGCGATGTTCGTATTTCCAGCAATACTACTATAAGCCAACTAACCACCTTTGACCCAAAGATTTTAAAAAAGTTAATAAAAGTGTAAAGAACGCGCACATAATACCGGTCTCTCGTAATGCTTGGCACATATAAAATGTATAACACTGATTCTTAAAAAGAAAATTATATTTATTTACCATCCATCTTGTTCAGTTTTAAATTTTTTATTATTACCATGCTTTTACCAGGAAATCTTGATTAGAGGTATATAGTAATTTCATCCATCATTAGCACTTAACATTAGCATGTATCATCAACAAAAAAGAATATGATGCTGTTGATACTAACACCCATGAAGTTCCTATTAACAATCACATTTGTGTCATAATAATCAAAAATGTCTTGCCACAACCAAATATTAACAAATATCAAAGCGTCTTGCCGCTACCACCAATAAAAACAACAAAAATCATCGTGTGATGATGCTACAAAGGATTTCTTTATCGAGTTCTTTTTGCCAAATCTTTAATAAAACTCTTAAACCAGAAAATAATGGAATGCGTTTTATTTTTTTTTAAGGACAATAGTGATTCTGCTGATTCTGAAGACTTTGAAGAAATGCATATATTTTGACAAGAACTTGAAAATTTCAATTACTGATTAATGATATGAAGCCAAAACATCAATAAAATGGTCAAATCCTTTGGTGAAAATATATACTTTTGTGTAATTATTTATATTATTATTAATATGTAGTAAGTAGACTTGCTCTGAAACTGTCGCAAATCGCGCAAGCTTCTTCTTATTGCTTGAAATAAATAATGATCATTTGGCGTGTTTTCTAACTCATTGCTTACACTATACTTGAACAGTGGTGAAATTTATGATGGGGGTTTTGACTTGAAAAGAAACATATTTATCGACATTGACAAAAACGGTTAATAACTAATACTTTATTTTTTTTCACTATAGATTAAGGAATGTAATATTTTCCTTTATATGCTCAATGAAAATTTAAAGTTAAAAGATGATCAACCGACGGATTTTTTTACTCACGGATGATGTTTAACAAACAATATTAATATCTTTTTGTAAATATTATATAAAAATATTAAAGGGTTTCTTGAAGTCGGACATGGAGATCGAGTATCAAAAGTTTAATAAAATTTTTTTAAACATTAATACCGATCAAACCTAATATTCAATGAATATCTGATGAAAAAACAGATGTAACAATAACGCGAGGAGGAAGAAAGGATCAAGTTCTTCAAAATAAAGCCTAGAAAAATCAAATTGGAAAGTGACAATTAATTAGAAAACGTAAAATGATAACTGTAATTAAATAACAAAAAAATTTCAAGTTCGGTAGAATAGCATGTACGAATTAGAGAAAGGATTAGGGGCACCAGAATAAATTAAAACGGTGGAATTTATTTTTTTAAAACAATAAATGTATGTATATTCGTATGTATGTTTGTTTGTTTGTTTGTGTTCGCTCGTTTGTTTGTTTATTTATCCATTGTTCATTCATTTCATTCATTTGTTGACCTTTCTTTGTCGGATACTCCGTCTTCTGTGCTGATGACTGTTTTAAACTATATGCATATTGTTTAGTCCAAACTTGAAGTTGACTTGTTGTCATTTATCCAAAAAATACCACTCAAGACAAGATTCTATTCTTCTAGTCGTTCGTTTTCTTTTTTTTTGATTCAACTGTTGACATATAGTATACAAACAAAAATACTCACTTTCGATTCATTTTTTAATATGGTGTTATATTAGTGCACCCAACACATCTCATTATTCTTCTCCATTGTCCTAATATTTTACCATTAATCATGTGATATATAGTAAAGTAAATTCAATGTGCAGTGATTGCTTCGACAGAATAAAAGACTGATTCCAAGTTTAAATCATCAAGTTCTGTCAGTAGCAAATTTCAAATCGAAAAAAAAATTTTTATAATTTTCATTTACACTTTCACTCTCATCTGTATTTACAACTATTCGGATAACAAATTCCTTATTGTTTGATTGCTAAAAGCTGTCTTTTAAATTTTTGTGTAGACGTGAAGATTAATAAACGTGGACAGGAAGATTCAATTTTATTAACGATGATGTAGGCGACGAAACATTAAACTTTTTTTTTATAATAATAAAAGGAAATTTATATTGTAAAAAAAAATGGTGGATTTTCAAATGCTAATGCTAATACAAATGCTAATGCAAATGCTAATGCCAATGCTAATGCCAATGCTAATACAAATGCTAATACTAAGCCCAGCAAAGTTTTAAAGAAAAACTAGACTACTATAACATAAAAATGATCGACAAAAATATTTACATTTTAATTTTAAACATGATGACGTCGCCGCAGGTTTGAACTGGTTAACTTTGGAATAATAACAAATTAAAAATTAATGGTTTCACGAATAATAATTTGTTTGAATTGTTCAATTAGATTCGGCCAATTTCCAAGACACTCAAAGACCGACTCTTCCCATAAATCATCTGGCATTGATTCTCTAGTGGTAAATAATATTCTTATGAAATGATCATAAAGTTCAGAATTTTCATTTTTACTGAAGATAATATCATCATCTTTAACAACATCGTTATTTAAAATAAAATTATTATAATAATAATTGTTATTAATTGTATTAATTATATGTAAATCATCTTCAAGATATTTTGACGACAACAGTGATGTTGGTTGATATTGATGTTTTGGTTGCTGGTCAAGTCCATATCTTTGATTTTGTAGTAATCTCACTTTACTTTCTTGATATAAACAAAATTTTAAATTATTAAAGAAATTTTGATATTTCGATTCTATATTAATCAATACATGTGGATAATCTCTTATAATTTTTATATCAAACTCTTTATCATTATTGTTATTATTATTAACGTTAGCATTAGTGCCGAATATTATATCTTGTAATTTGTTAAAAATACTGAAATTTGGGTTAATAAAATTCTTGATAATTTCAAATAAATCATCATCAGAAATTGAATTCGAGTACAAAAGGTTTATAAAACTATCCCAATCTTCATCTGAACAATTCGGGCAATTTCTTTTGATTAAATTTAACTCTTGACTATTATTTATTATTATTTCCTTGATTTTTTCACCACGATCTTTATTATTTATTATTTGCTGTTGATGACATTGTTGATGATAAAGTTTCTTTGTATTGGATTCTTCTGAATCATTAATGCTTAGAGAACTTAATGGCGAAGATAATGAATTGACAAGATAATCGATTTCATTATAATGTAAATCTGCTGGTGATGATGATATATCTGATGCGTTTTCATTATACATCACCATATCCATGTCTTTATCATTATCATTACTATTATTAAAATCATCAATAGATGAATAATCTGACAAAGAGGGCGAAGAAGAAAAAATAAGAGAAGGGGTGGGTGAAAGAGGGGTAAGAGAAGAAACTAGCTGTGGTATGAAAACCAGTTCATCCAGCCTAGATAAAGTTGCACGATCTGAAGTCATTTTGGTATCTATATATGTAGCGTTATTTTGTATATGAGCAGGATTTGGTGAATTAGACATCGTGTTATTATTTATTATTATTTTGAATTCCTGGTTTAATTTTTTTTTTTTAAAAAAATGTTGTATTAGGAAAACTTTGCTTTTTATAAAGTCGATCATTTCACACACCTTAAAAAATAAAATAATAAATAGTAATAGCAGTATTATTATGTCACAATTGTACTATAAAAACTGAAGAGACAATTGGATGATTGCCTAAACTGTTTTAGGAAAATTTATTTCAGCAATAGTTTTAGCTTTATATATGATTAACAAGGCTGGGTAGTAACTTCGACTAAATTATTAGTATTGGTCATATGGTTAAGTCCGATTCATCCATTACTAAATTAGGACTATAGCAGTCCGATGAATAAGATTTAAAGAGCAATAAAATTAATTTCAGCCATTATTGGTTTTTGTCTGACAATCATTTATTAAAAGAGGCAATTTCGACGGCCATATATAGTAAAGACCACATCATGTAGACAGCTGGCGCGTGATCACGGCCGTTGAGTCATCTTCTTTAGATATTGTTCTTCTGTCTCTTCTATAGGATGAAACCAATTGAAGGATAGAATACGAAACTGTGACTAGTAAACTACATAAGAAGATAAAAAGAAGATTAAGGAAAAACGCCTCTATACCACTTTATTAATTTTCATTACCCCTTCTTAGTCAGAGAATTTAGAATTAATTTATCAATTGTTTCCCTTTTATTCATTTTTAATTCATAAAGTATAAATAAATAAATCTTACCATATCAAAATCATCTCAATTTCCCACAAGCTTGAAATCGGGACATAATATCCATTAATTAATTCACTCTTTAATAGCGTGACAATATACATCTTTATTTTTAATAAAATATTCTTAGTTTTCCTAATAAGGAAGGTGGGTCTTATGGCTTAAAATTAATAAATGATATATACTTTGACTAATTGCAAGGGACAAACAATGATTGGTTGATAGTTGACTCGAACGAATAAATTAACTTTTATTATGGGTCAGATAGAAATGAATGTTTGTATAAATTCTTTTATAAACAGTGTAACAGCACTTCATAGTTAAATTATTCTTAGCACACGAAAAAAAAAAGATAATCACAATGGGATACATAATAACAATGATATTTAATCTCGCAATAACGAATTTTATTTTTTAAAAATCGTTATAACGCGAATTTAATTATAGATTTACACAACTTATTTATGCGTACGATTTTTTTTAGTTAGACTAAATAATAAAAAACTACGAGGTTAATCCAAACTTGATGATAATAAAAATCGTGCGACGCAATTGGTGTTGTTAATATTTAATATTAATAATTTCTCGAACATACCATACATAACTACACCAAAATAATACAGATCCTTTTGGATTAAAATATTGATAAAAAAGGCTATTTTCAAAAAAAATGGTTTTCCCATCAATATTTAATATAAATTGTTTATTATTCAGAATGATTGATGGCTCGATATTTTTAAAAGAATCAATTTTCAATTTAGCAGATTTTTAAGAAACATTATCAGATGGAAACTGCGACTAGTGGAACTTTACAATTCCCAGATATTGAAACTTTATAATCTATTAATCTATTATTGGAATAGTACTAATGACATTGGCTTATTAGAAACTAACTTTTTTAGGTCTAATTATAAAAATTTAGGTTGCGATGACAAAAAATCAACTAATACAACAACTTTATATAGAATATAATAGATCGAAGCTCGGACCAAATCTAAATCAGTATGAACATCTAATAGTTGATTTGAGAAGTAAAAAAATTAGCCGGAGGGTTTATTTTCCTAGTCCAAACCCCATATAAAATAAAGAAACAGCTGAGAGTTAATTTTCCTCATTAAACCCCATACAATAATTCATTTACACATTCTTATCAAGAGTATAAACAGTGCCGCCTCATGAAAAGTAAAAGAAAAAAATGACTCATCACGTGATAATTATTTATTAAATGAAGTAAAAGGTTACTTATAACTTCCATTAACATGGTGGAAGATTCGCACTATGCATGTTGTCAAAATTAATCTGGTTTCGACTCAATCGCAATTTTTACTCATATGACTCAATCAGGGCTGGCTGCGTAAAAGTGTTAAAATCCTAATTTGGTAATATTTTTCTTGATTGAACTTGAATAAACTTGACTTAACGTAATGATAATGACTAAAGAGTTTAGTCTGCTTAGCTAAATCCTCATTTAGGTTACGCAGCCAGCCCTGAACTCAATGCGTCAAAAAATTCACCTGATTGAATCAAGTGATCAATCTACTTCTACCACAAGATTCAAAACTTTCGCTAAACTATCTTTCCAGAAGTGTTTAATTTCATTTTTTTGCTAAAAATTTTATTGGCCTAAAAGAGCTCATAGTAGATGTGCAATGATGAAACGAGAGTACATGGTTGCTTTCTTAATAACAATAACCATATAATTGATGACAGAAAGTTTGATTTTGAGAGAAACATAATGCGGACCAAACAACCTTAAACCTATAAAAGATGTTTGAATTCGGTTAATTAAAAGTTGTTTCACTTCTTATAATAAATACAAAATATGAAAAAATCAAAGAATTTTAAATTTTTCTAAAAAGATCACGTAACATATTCCCTACAAAAAGTTTAGATGCTTAAAATCTATTTGAAGGTGCTTAAAATGTGCTTAAAACATACCTTTTTTAATAATGAACAAAATTAAGTATGTTTTAAGTAACCTTTTATGTGTATTTCAAGTGTATTTCAAGTATGCTAGTTTACCATCAAAAGTGTGTTTTAAGTATATTTTAAGTATATAGTATATTTTAAGTGTGTGTTTGAGTATAATCCATATACTTAAAACATACTTAAAATTCACTTAAAATGTTCTTGTTCTCTTTCATCGGTAAATTTTAAGTAAATTCTAAGTATATGGTGTATATTTTAAGTGTATTTTAAGTATCTAAACTTTGTGTAGGGATTACGCGTGTACCCGGAATTTGGTACACTGGTTTCTGCTGCACGTTATTTGTGGAAAGGTTTAAAGTTGTAACAATATACATTATACCGGACTTGAACTATGATTATTTTTTGATTTTTACTGTTATTTTTGTTATTATTATTACTAATTTTAGTCGGTCTACTACTTGGAACACATATATCTTTGAAAATATGCATTAAAAAAAACGTTTGATAGCAGGCTTGGAGAATGATATTTATTTCGTGACAATGACCTCAACAGTTTACAATCATTATCCAAAAAATTTGAAAATAAGAGTTTCAAACTATAAAATTAACACAAATTAACTCATTAATACAATATATAAATTGAAATTACAAAAGTAACGAACTTTGGATAATTTTATGGTCTTGACTGAATTTTCAATTTCAGCAAATCACGTTGCTGAGCCTGGAATTGTGATACTGTCAAATTATTTTACAACGTAGTTATTATTAACGTACACCACCCGATTTCCAAATTCACTCACTGAAAATGTTTGACAATTGATTGAGACAAATTCGCCTTTGCAAAAATCAAATATAAATTTTCCTCCTATTTATTTTTCTATTATATATTTCTTTTATGTAGGGAAATTATCTGTCATAAAGACAGATTATCCTATAATAGGCAACAACACCTTTGATTATTTAAATTCATATTATCTGGAACTTCCATTCTCTCGAAAAAATCAATTTCGGCAGGCGATTTCGGATTTACAATATTTCATAATGATGGACATAAAAAAACTACCCAGAATTTTGGCTATTGAGTTAAAGTGTTCAAATAATTTCGGCAATTAATGACAATCATTTACCAAGTGAAATAATTTCGGCTAACATCTTTAATTCAAATTGCACAATGATATTATCCTCCGGAAGTTTCTTTATAAAAACATTTAATGCCTTTTAATGAAAAACATACCCCAACCAGTAATTCCCCATTCCTCGAGAGGCCTAAGTACTCTTTGAAAAGGCTAGTATCAGTAATGAGGATTAAATAATTTTATCGAAGCAATAGGAAGGAAAAAGGTCCACCTGAACATAAAAACCGTGAGAATAGGATTTTTTTTCAAAGTTGGTAGCGCAATGGTGAATGTTATCTTGAGATCACAAAAAATAATTTTTTTTACTAATAAAAATTTTATCATTAGAAAATTTAAACTTATTAGTTGACAACCTTATCAATTCCAACAACAATTCCCTACCATTATAATATATTAGTAAACTTATAAGTGACTTAACAAAGTTATTGATTGAATCAAATTTTTATGATTTAGAAATTAGTGTTGCTCATTCTGCTAATATTTTAAAGCTGCCTTATCAAATAATTGGATAAAAAAATCTGATGATGGTATTATTTTATTTGAAAAAAAAACATTTCTCCAAATGTATTTGAGGTTTTTTTAACGTATGTTTATTTAATTTTTATTTAACCAATTAATTGAATGATTATTATAATAATTTAAATTACTTTATTTTATTTATATATAGATATATTTACAATGGAACTTTTAATATGGATGATTTGGATGGAAACGAAATTTTTAGAACTTCTTGAAGCATGCAATGAATTAAACTTTAATGAATTAACAAGATCAATCAGGCATTATGAACAAAGAATTAAATCTTGAAATAGGTGGATAATTTACTCAGAGAAATTCGTAGAACATCAAGGAATATGTTGAAAAATATTGGATTTGGAATTAATATTCGTGTATATTTACATTTCCAAAGATTTTTTAATAGATGATATTTTATTAATAAAAAATAAAAAATAAAATTCGAAGAAGCAGCCTATGTTATGATAAAGACTGTGATGGATGGTATGTATGGTGGACAGTTAGAAAGGGCTTTCAAATACAGTACTTTTGGTCTTGGGTTCTATTCCTGTTTCGTCAATAAGAAATGCACACAGATCCTTGAGATACATAAATGCATATAAGAAAAGATTGACACTTAATGCAGCAGAATATGCTGTAAAGAAATATTGTTCTCACAGAAGAATTCCTAATGATGTATTGTCATGTAAGTTACCT